CTGTTCGTTCTCTCTCTCTCTCTCTCTCTCTCTCTCTCTCTCTCTCTCTTAGGGGTGGAAATGGGCTGGGCCAGCCCATGCACTAGCTTGGTCCCAACTGGGCTGGCCCGGCCAGTGGTGGGGCGTCTAGAGTGCTCACCAAGTAATACTATAAAAGTTTTGACTTAGAAAGGCACAAAGCAACCTTCCAACTTGAATTTACGGGTACGTATAATTGTACAACTCAAATGAATATGTGAATACAAACCCCAAACACGACAATGACACCTCAATTTGGTCCACTACTTGTTCCACTCAACACATAAGATTTGGCCAGAATGAACATTACAAAGCCAAATGAACATTAGGACTTTCAAATTCATCAATTTTCATTATCCTAAATACATCAATATATCAATCTCAAAACACATGAACAAGCAAAAGTTTTCATGATTATGGGAATCCACGTGTGGATTAATATTTTGCGGATCAGAATTTAGTTTCAATCCATATGAATGCCATACTCCAAAAGCACAAGACATGATCAAATCTGATTTAGATGATGAGAAGCTATGAAGTAAGTTTAAATTATGCTCAAGATATAGGATAAGAGGTTTAAAATATGCTCAAGCTATGGGAGACAACATTTTGGCATTATGATGGCAATGTAAAAATGGTGATTCGAGTTTCATAGAGTATAAAATCTTGCTAATTTTGTAGCAAAAGAACGATAAATTGTTGCTCAACTAAAACTACAAGATGTCACCAACATTAATTGGCAATATCAATGTACGTAGAAGTAAGGTATGGAGGCATCAAAGGACCAATGAAAAACTAATGAAATGAGGCCAAAGATTAAGAAAACGTTACTGTTATAGTGGATTGACAGCAAGAATAAAGTTGCTTAAGATGTAGGAAGAGCTCCTTGAATGCTATGCTAGCCTCACCGTGCATCATGTGGTTCAAGACCATGAACGGGGTCTCTCTCTCTCTCTCTCTCTCTCTCTCTCTCTCTCTCACAATGTGCACTTACGGTTTTGGGTTTATATTTATGAGTACTTAAGAGATTTACCCTAGATTAAATATGGACCAATGATAGCATTAGAGGTTTGATCCTAGCTACACATCAACTACCAAGCTATTATTGACGAGCGATTACCATTTAACCACCTTTATCTTTAGGGACCTTTATCTTTAGGGTGTGGTTTCTATAAGGTTGCAACCTTAAACAATTCCACCTTTATCTTTAGGGACCTTTATCTTTAGGGTGTGGTTTCTATAAGGTTGCAACCTTAAACAATTCAAAAGGTGCACCTCCAAATTTTATCATAACATGGAATTTTAGGGTAAAACATTCTTAGGATTATCTCAAAATCTATTTTCATATTTAATTATAAAATTTTAAACTTCAAAAATGGTTAAAATCAAGTAGATCTATAAATATATGAAAATCTTGAAAATGGACGGTCTTGATAATGTGTTGCAAGATGTACTATTTTTAGGACCCAATGTTTTTTTTTTTTCATATTCGTACATTTTGTTGTCGAGATGATTTTTTCATATTCGTACAACCTTTTCCGATGGATTTTTGAGGTGCATAAGTAATTCTACATTTTAAGGTTGCAACCTTATATAAACTTTTTCTATCTTTATGGTACAATTTAATTTCTAATTCTTCATTCTAAAAAACAAAATCTAATTTCTCTCTTAGTATTTTAATTTTAAAAAAATTAAAATTCATTTCTCACATTTGCCCATGGGATTGAATCATTACGTGAGATAAAATTGAGAGCTATGCCCCACAAATATCTCTACACTTTTTTTCTCTCTAAAATTTAAATTTCAAATTGTGTTTCATTCTATCTCTAGATGTCCTTATTCACACACTAGGTGTCGCACTACACACACTTCGTGTTATATAGCACACATGTGATCAATAGAATCCCAACACATTAAGAAACACTTTTTAAAGCTGAGTTCTAAAAAATAAGAAAAATATCAAAAATTAGGTAGCATATCATATGTGACAGAAAGACACACATGTGCTAATACAATAATCACAGATAACACAAATAAGCCTAAATAGCAAACACCGCCATGAGGGGCATGCCACTCAATGCGGTTAACCTCAGGCCCACGTTAGCCACGCTGCTGCATGGCGCTGGGTGGAGGTAGTGGGGTCCTTTGCTATTTGGGCCTCATGTAGTTCAATTCTTAATTAGATTTTAGAAAATAATTTATTTTGTCACCTTTTTAAGCTGGTAAAAATTCAAAAAATTCTCCAAAAACACTTTTGAATTAATATTTCATTTTTTTCGATAGATTTTTTAATAACAGTAGACTGTAGGTGGACCCCCATGGAAATCTTGGAATTTGAGGGTACTTTTTCTAACACATGTGTATATGTTTCAAGTGGATTGGTTGTGAGAGTGGCTTCCTATTCATGCATATGCTGTGAGAAATCGTGAAGCCGAGGGTTTGGTTCATGCATTCTCAAAACCATTCCTTTTTACACAGGGCTTCTCTCCCGAATCCTTGTTAGCATTTGGAAATGCTAAATACAGAAGTTCTCTAATCCGCATGCATATTTTCTCATATAGTAATAGAAATACTCATGCCATGTAAATAATTATGAGGTACTCTCATGCCGACCTTGGCTAGGGTAACTTCAACCTTAGTGGGTTTGTTGCCCTATAATCTCACTCCTCATGACTTGGGGTTTTGTATCAATGGATACAAACTCCGGATCTAGTTCACAAGAATTGGATGTCCCCCTCCCCGCCTCTTTCTCGCTCTCTCTCTACATGCTCGTTTAGTCGGTTCAATTGGTTTGATTGTGTAGAAATGAAAAGCAATCCACGAAAACAAGAAAAAAAAAACAAACACAAAAGAAAGAGACAACCAATCACAATGCAAATATATACGTGGTTCGGCAAGGTACCTATGTCTACGGGAGATAAGAGCTTCTTTACTAACAATGGAGAATAGGTTTACATTAGCCATAAAGTTACATTAGCTATCTTTCTCACACCTCTCTGTTATATCTTATTACAAAGAAATATGTGTTTTTCCCTTAAACTTAAATGAACCCCCATCGCAACAATATATATTGAATCGTAACAATGTAAATCGAAACCCAGATATATCGAATCGGCCCTCCGAGCTTTTAATAGCCCTCCGGAGTTATCCTTTTGACTATACCTTGACAGATTTATTTTTTCATAATAGAAGACATCAATCCTCAACAGATTAGTTCTGGCGGACCATTTGGAATTTCAAGCGCTGCATTTATACGTAGTGGGATTATGAGGTCTTATTTGTTAAGGAGAAATAATAAAATAAATGTATCTGCTATGCTCCCACATAAGCACATTATTCATCTCCATCATAGAGTATAAGACCTATTTCCGTGGATTTTTTAAATCTTAAATTTTGGGAATTACTTAAGAATTACTAAATGATTATTTTCAAAAGTGAATATTTGAATTTTAAGTTTTTTAACACTTCCTCACTCTAAAAAATTGATGGTCTCTAGTCAATCTTGAGACAATGTTTTTTTCGACTGCATAGAGAGTGCAATTTGGAGTTCTTCATTTTTGAGGTTACATCCCCAAAGTTTGAGATCCAAAATTACTCTTAGATTGAGTTTTATTTGAGGGAAAAAATGGACAGTATACTCCTATGGAAGAATAAAATCTTTTGGGTAATATGAATCTTGTGTTTATGATAATTTAATGATCATACGGATTATCACCATCTAATCATCTATTGGTTTGAAACTGATGGAGGTCTGTGGGATGTACCAAATATGTTTGTCACATTTCCTGGGAGACCACTCTACTCTTATTATGGTAGTCTTGTTATGACATATTTACAGGCGCCTGATTTGAGGTCCTTGATATTGCACAAAAGCATTGCTCTTACGTAGCAAAATTTTTATAATGATAATGCTAGAGTGATGATGATAATGTCTAAATTCTTAGCATGAATATCATTGTTGCTCTGCTTGCTTTAATGTGTTTTTTGTTATTTTCGGCTTATAAAGCTTGACTTCCCATGTTCTTGTAGTTGAAGAGATAGCTAGTTCATCAACTAGCCATGTTGTGTCTATTACAATCAAGTTATGCAATGTCTTTCTTAGGTAAAGGAAATATAAAGCATCGAGAACAATTCCGAATTGGTACAAATTAAGACATAAAATCTCAATAAAATTATAGCATAACAAAATCCTCTTAGGATAGGGATATACATCATTATGGATATATATCAGTATATCTCTTGATAAGATTAGAATATGTATCCTACTGATATATGTCAGTATGGATATCCATCTGTATGGATACAGATCTCTTGATAAGATTACGCGTTGTCTATCCATAACTATTGGTATTTATCTGTAACGGTTACTAGCTGTATATTTATACGGAGTCTTGTATATTCTTGATTAAGCAATTTTATAGAGTTCTTTTCAGTATTCATATATTTATACGGAGTCTTGTATATTCTTGATTAAGCAATTTTATAGAGTTCTCTTCAGTATTTTGAAATAATCTTCTATGGGGGCCTAAGGCCCAAATATACATACATACAGTTTCTAACATGGTATCAGAGCAACGTATTTTTTCAAGTATTTTTCTAGTGATAGAATAGATGTTTTTTCGGTGATATAATAGGGGCTAGTTTTCTTTTTCGGCAAGGTATTTTTCAGCAAAAGACCTTCATGAATTTATTTTTTACATCTGGGGTGCGGTGTATTTAGCTTGTAG